AGGCCAACGCAAAAAGTGGCTCGATACAGTCCGTCAGAACGTGGATGCGGTTCTGGGTCTTTGGTACTCAGTCTTCGTTGTGAAGATCTGCTGCCTTGCACCGTCGTGCATGGAGAGGTACAGTCCGCAACATAATTGAGGCTGGTTAGATCAGGCATGATCGCAGTCGTAACAAGCGCCAGTTTTAAGTAAATGCAAGATATCTCGAACCGAATTCAGCGCTGCCGTCCTGCCACCCCGAGACGTGGTGGTTCGTGGCTGCCGGTATTTCCCACAGGGTTAAATTCAGCAGATCGTCTGCGGCCATCAAAGTCCATCTGGGAGACAAAATGGTCACATTACTCAGAGCTATATCAAAAACACTAATGCGCTGTGTGAGAAGTTGACTTTCAGTTGGCGCAACTGGCATTTTCATTGTTAGTTCAAAAGCCCGCCAGTCTCGTAACAATTATATTTAAGGTTCCGAAAAACCCGTGACGGCTGGACAAAGAACAGATTAGAGTCTGGCTCTCATTGCCTTGACCCATTAAGTGTCGGTCCTTCACGTGATTTTTTAATGTAGTCTTTTTCCGAGGTGAAGACTAGTTATCTCCCATCCCCCCCCAAACATTCCTATCACGTTTTCTAACAGAACTAATTGAATGCACTGTGATATTCCGAAATCTTGCTACTGGACGTGGACTTGTTGGGTGCATTTGAGAGAATCCTTTTTCCCACAAAGGCTCCCGGAATCGCCATCAACCCAGTACTTGAGATGGAAGTTTGCCACAAGAAATTTGAGGACTTAAACGAATTAGTATCTAAGTTACTTAGAGCTGTTAAGTCGGACCACAAGGAAGGATGTGTGGAGACCACTACTGTTGTAACGTACTTTCCCTTTTTCAGTAGATCGCAAACTTCCAAACATTGTTTTTTCTCCTTGAACTGCGTTTAACTGTTTTCCTTATTTTTGTCGACTTTTTTTTAGAGTGACACGGCCTGTTTAAGCTCAATGCTGGTCAGTCTACTGAAGTTCATTACCCTTTTCCCCAAATGTGAAGTCCTCTTCGACTCGGAAACAGAGATCGGTGGTGTCTACGATCCTGAGGCCGGTGACCCGGAGCTGTGTCGTCCAACCAGTGCGGTCCTCTGGGAACTGCAAATTTTGCGAAACCACGAATCAGCCACCGTAAGTGTATCATCAGGAACAGTATTTTGGCAGAGATTATTGCTTTGATAGCTGGTGATTACTTTATTTCGATGCTTTCCGACCGCACGCAAACCGGACGGACCGCTCGAATTGTAGTCATATGTAGAAATCAGTCAGGCCACATTGTCAGAAAAAAACTTCATTTGTGCTTGACATCCAATGTGCCCTAAAGGCTTTGAAAAGAGTGACAACCTGGATTCTGTGTCTGGATTCTTCAAGATTATGATTATGACTAAGAAGGGTGTGT